GGGAAGGGAGGGGGGGTTCGTGTGGGGGTTCCCATGGGGGGGCGCATCACAGGACCTGGCCTTGGGGCGACATGAAGAGGGAGAGTAAATCCGGCCCTGTATAGTGTACTACCTACTAAAAATATCATTATGTTTTAACCCATCTGTACAGCACTTACCAAGCTTGTAGTGACACTGTTCTTCACTGATGCAAGTTTGATCTTCTCTTTTTCTTTACTTTTCTTTTTACGCTTAGAACAGCAGCAACAACAACAGATGATGATCAGCAGGATTAAAAAAACTGCCACAGCGCCCAAAGCGTAGATGGCCCATCGCGGCACTGATCAAACAGGAAGGAAACAAAAACAGTGAGGACAAAGACACAAGCAACGGGAGATAAAAGAACACTGGCGGTGTGTTTTTGTCTCTTTCCAACACATTTAAAGTTTTGGGGCAAGTATATACACAACTCTGGTAGAGATACAGTAAGGGGGTTATCCACAAAGCTGCCGAAGGCATCCGAGTGAATAACCCAGCCGAAGTGAAGTGAGCCAAACAACGTTTGGCTATTTACTCCGGCTCTGTATCAGCCGTACATTGGCTGCCTTCGGCTGCACTTCGGACCATCATAGCCTGCATTCCTCCTTAAATTGTTCAAGCCTTACTTCATTGCAACTTTATTAGTTGCCAGAAGCCTCTTTGCCTGTTGGACCTGGTAGGGAATGGACTGTGAAAACCTTAACAAATGCATTACTCTTTTCCAGAACTGAGACTGGCGCACCTTATGTGTGAAGGGGCTTAAAAAGAAGAAAAATGAGTATATACAAGAGTACAGTTGCAGTACTTACGAGGTATTTTATTTAAAATGCTCTCTATCCACCCCCATATCCCTGAAGCTGGAGCATAGGTGCTGGTGATAACAGTGGGATGAGTTGTATTTGCACTTTTAGCCATAATCTTAGCCATGATTATTGTCGGAGAGAGGAAGAGCTCCCCTTCCAGCGCACCGCACCTGGAAGAAAAAATAGGAAAGGCATTATTTCTTAGTTGTTTCTTTAGTTTACTATTTGAGCCTCCAACTGCATATAGCACAAAGAAGGGGATATATATGAAGAGAAATGCTGCTTTTTATGTATAAAGAGTTGGTCATTAACAGGGAGTAGCGGTTATGTTTTGTCCTCCTGACATCACCTGCTCCCTATGCTACATCACAGTTATTCCCTGGGTAACAAGCAAAACAGTACATAGACTCTAACAATGTTCTTTTGTGATCAAATGTAGCATGCCTTGCTTTACTAGAACTGCCTACACGCTGTAGATGTTATCATTCACACAGCCCTCTACCTCCCTAAAGGTCTCCCAGCAATAAATCCTTACTGTAAAAACATGTTTATAGGCAAACTATACCTATTCACTGCAGAAGAGCCCAACGCGTCTTGTCCCAGCCGTATAAATGTTTTGGCTGAATTCAATATGCATTTGTGTTAGGAAGTCAAAGGAAGGAAATCACTTCCTGACAGGAAAAAGTGTGGAGTAGCCAATCAAATGTTGTTCCCAGTGTCTTCTGTGGTTTCTTAATGTTTCTCTGGTAATCTTTAGTATCCCCTTTTCTTGTGAAATGATTCCCTGAGTTATTGGTCTCATACGTTTGTGTCTAATATTTTACCTCTGTACTACACATACAACACAGTTGTGTATGTACACATTCATAAACGCTGAATATATTCCCATTGTACACGTGCCTGGACAAGGCCCAGAGTAAAAGGGTGCTGTAGCAACTGGCAGCTGGTTGGCTGGGGTCAGTACATTGATTATAATGTACAGTATTTTGCCAGGGGTTGACCTTGGGTTGAATCAGCACAGAGGGGTTGATTTACTAAAGGCAACTAGGCTGTTCACTTTGCAAGGGAATTTGCACTTGGCTGAGTGAATGAGGAGAAGCTCCGCTGGCTTCCATCATCCAATAATGTGCAAGCAAAAATACTGTTTTCTTTATTTTCCTTTCACACAATTGGTTATTCTTTGCAAAGTGAATTTTTTCACCACATTCACTAAGCTAAAGGAAACATTCCTTGCAAAGTGAACAGCCTATGTGTTTTTAGTAAATCAACCCCCGTGGATCTGTAATCAGCAGGCCAGATGTTTTATTGACGTGATTGATCACATCTCAAACAATGTAATTGCAATGTTTCGAGACCAAGCAGGACCTCAGGTATGATAAAGAGGTGATCACTTCAATGAAACATTTTGACTATTGGTTATAGATCCACGGTGTGTTGGCGACATATGTTCTTATTCACATTTATAAAAAGACCATTGCTCTGACGCATGCACAGTGTTATACTTCAGTTTTCTTACTGTGCACCCACATCAGATTTTTATTACTGAACCTTGGACACTTTTACTGTGTTTATGTGTTGAGTGTAGAAGTTTTTACTTTACATATAACAACATATACTGTAAGTATAGCCGCTTATACATGACCTGTGAACTTATCAATATGCCGTAAATGCCTTAGTAGTCTAAGGCAGCCTTTCTGAAGCAGGATACCATGCCTTGGGGTGACCTCCGGCTTTCTCAGGGGTGCCTTCAAATTTTCACTTGGAGACTCTGATGAGAAGGACAACTTTTTTTTGCATTGTGCAGCCAAAAGCAATAATCATTAAGAAATGTCACCACCACACCAAAGTCCTTTAAGGATCACCAAGTGTTCATTAACTCAGAACCATGTCATGAAACAAACACTTTTGGGGCCACACAGAGTCCCTTCATCAGGCTTAGTGGCAAAATTGCTTGTTTCATAACATGTTTCTGAATAAATGAGCACTTGGTGATCCTTAAAGGACTTAGGTGTGCTGGTGGCAATGATTATCTGATGGGAAGGAAGCTCCTGATGTGGAGGGGGGGTTTCTGATGTATAGATGGGGCTTCTGACGTGAAAGGGGGGGGGACTCTGATGTGAATGGTGAAACTCCAAGCCATCCTTTTTTTTTTGTCTTATTGCCTTGGGTCCTCCCTTAAAATCCTTACCAGACGCCTGTCTAAAATATTAGGATATAGGTTTGATATCGATGGTGTTGGTGGTGGTGTTGGTGGTGGTGGTTGTGAGAGGTCCCTGCTTGGCCTAGCTCTCTGCCCTTTTTCTGCTTTGGCAATCATTCTGCAGTTGGAGCATTGGCATTGCCAAGTTTTTAAAAGCACAGGTTTTTGAATGTCCTCAGCATTTAACACTCAAGCACTCGAAGGCATTGGATCCAATGAGCACAGTACAATCTCAGCACAGCAGGATATACTCCGAGTTGTGCTGTTATAGTCTATGCCAGCCAAGTGGACCCTACTTCAGATAAGTGGCTCAGGTGAGGTGCCGGGCCCATTATAATGCTGTGATGCTGTTGATTTTGATATTTGAAAAGCTCAGTGTTTTTTTATATGGTGAGATGATGAATTGTGCATTATCCCCAAGTACCCGTCTAAACGTTAGCTAATAGTGGTTAATCACATTCTGCTGGACTGTTTTCTTGTGTTAAAGACATTTCACCACTGTGTCCTGTAGTGATGCAGGGGCAGGTGGAAGGAAACCAAGCCAGAAGACATACTATCTGACAGAAGATTGGAGTCACACCCTCCAGAAAAGTAAGTATGAGAGATGTTATAATGAAGTCTACAGCTTATTGACATTGCGTTCACTAGCAACATGATCACTTTAAAGCAGACCTTTACCCCCATTCATTAGGCAACATTTTTGCTTTTCCTAATTATTTTTTGTCCACTTCCTGGTCCTCTTAGGCTTTCAGGGATCCCAACCTGAAATAAGTCATTTCAGGGAGGTGCCCTTCTCATTTCAGGGAGGTGCTCTTCTCATTTCAGGGAGGTGCCCTCTGTGAACCC